AAATAAAATGTAAATACAATAAAAATATAAAATAAAAATTAAATGTAAATAAAATAAAAATATAAAATCTAAATAAAATGTAAATAAAATAAAAATATAAAATAAAAATAAAATGTAAATAAATAAAAATATAAAATCTAAATTCAATATTATTCATAATAAATGGTGTTTTTTGGGTTAGATCGCGTTTATTTATAAATGTGTGTCGTAACCCTCCACCACCCGACACGGCCAATCAGCAAAAAAAAGTGTCACGTTGACAAAAGACACAAAATAATTCACTACTTTAGCCCACCGGTGTGTTGAAGAGTGAATCCACAACATTTACAGTTTGAGTTGTACCCTGACGTTTCGCTGGTAAATACATCCAGCATCACCATCGGGCAATTCGCCAGAATGGTAAAGCCCTCTCCGCTCGCTCCCGGTTTTTATCATCACTCAACTCATATCAGGTGCAGTGATTAGAGGCGGAGGGGAGGTTATTGTAATTATATAATCGATTAGTAATCAGTCAATGGTTACGATTAGTAATGAGTTGTAGATTAGTCATTCTTTAAATCAAAATGTACCGTGTGTTATTTAACAACAATACGCTTCCAGGCCGCACTAAGCCTGTAGCTGTCAGGGCGATTAAAGTTGTTCTTGTTCCTCTCAAATTTCAATGGATTATGAATAATATTGGTCGCGAAAGCCTACGTGTTAAACTAAATGTAGTGTTACATATTCTTAGTTTTTTCGGTAAAGTCACGTTGAAGAGAAACAACAAAATAACAAAATATATATAAAACAATAAAAAATTCTCACGACGTTTCGACCATAACTCAAACGGTCATCATCAGGTGTGATGATGACCATAACTCAAACGGTCATCATCAGGTGTGATGATGACCGTTTGAGTTATGGTCGAAACGTCGTGAGAATTTTTATTGTTTTATATATATAGGTGTGATGATGACCGTTTGAGTTATGGTCGAAACGTCGTGATAATTTTTATTGTTTTATATATATTTTGTTATTTTGTTGTTTCTCTTCAACGTGACTTTATCATCAGGTGTGATGATGACCGTTTGAGTTATGGTCGAAACGTCGTGAGAATTTTTTATTGTTTTATATATATTTTGTTATTTTGTTGTTTCTCTATGGTCGAAACGTCGTGAGAATTTTTTATTGTTTTATATATATTTTGTTATTTTGTTGTTTCTCTTCAACGTGACTTTATCATCAGGTGTGATGATGACCGTTTGAGTTATGGTCGAAACGTCGTGAGAATTTTTTATTGTTTTATATATATTTTGTTATTTTGTTGTTTCTCTTCAACGTGACTTTATCATCAGGTGTGATGATGACCGTTTGAGTTATGGTCGAAACGTCGTGAGAATTTTTTATTGTTTTATATATATTTTGTTATTTTGTTGTTTCTCTTCAACGTGACTTTATCATCAGGTGTGATGATGACCGTTTGAGTTATGGTCGAAACGTCGTGAGAATTTTTTATTGTTTTATATATGTTTTGTTATTTTGTTGTTTCTCTTCAACGTGACTTTATCATCAGGTGTGATGATGACCGTTTGAGTTATGGTCGAAACGTCGTGAGAATTTTTTATTGTTTTATATATATTTTGTTATTTTGTTGTTTCTCTTCAACGTGACTTTATCATCAGGTGTGATGATGACCGTTTGAGTTATGGTCGAAACGTCGTGAGAATTTTTTATTGTTTTATATATATTTTGTTATTTTGTTGTTTCCCTTCAACGTGACTTTATCATCAGGTGTGATGATGACCGTTTGAGTTATGGTCGAAACGTCGTGAGAATTTTTTATTGTTTTATATATATTTTGTTATTTTGTTGTTTCTCTTCAACGTGACTTTATCATCAGGTGTGATGATGACCGTTTGAGTTATGGTCGAAACGTCGTGAGAATTTTTTATTGTTTTATATATGTTTTGTTATTTTGTTGTTTCTCTTCAACGTGACTTTACCGAAAAAAACTAAGAATATGAATTACTGCAGTCACGAAAGCTTTAAATCAAAATCTAAATGTAGTGTTGTTTGTGTCCCACTTCACCCCGCCAGTCTCCCCTCCCCCACGTGTTAGGGACACCGCTGACGGCTCCGCCGGGAACTCCATCAGGCCGTGCAGCCCGGAGTTCCTTCGTGCTCACCGTGACTCGGTACGGTGGGGGGGTGGTGGTGGGGGGGTGGTGGTGGTGGTGGGGGGGGTGGTGGTGGGGGGGGTGGTGGTGGGGGGGTGGTGGTGGTGGTGATGGTGGTGGTCACAGTGGTGGTCACAGTGGTGATGGTGGTGGTGGTGGTGATGGTGGTGATGGTGGTGGTGATGGTGGTGGTCACAGTGGTGATGGTGGTGATGGTGGTAGTAGTGGTGGTGGTGGTGGTGATGGTGGTGGTGGTGATAGTGGTGGTGGGGGTGGTGGTGGTGGTGGTGGTGATGGTGGTGGTGGTGGTAGTAGTGGTGGTGGTGGTGATGGTGGTGGTGACG